CCAGAGGTCCCCAAGCAGCAACAGCCTGCCTCCCATCCCTGCAGAGTCTCTCTGGCTTCTCCTGGTTAATAGAATTCTACTATTTAATGGTTTTCTCTTAGAAAAGCAGCATTATTTTTTTTTTAAACACTTTTTATAAAAACTAACAGACAGGATCAACAACAACAATAGAAAAATGCAATCGCTTTTCAACTCAAGTGCGCAGCAAATTTTCCACCCTATGAGGACACAACTCGGACCCACACGGAGATAGACGCAACGCAGCCCCAGCCGGAACACGATCCGAGATCCCTGCCTTGGAGCAGCGAAGATGCATTTCAGACTATAGCAGCACATTGAAATGTATTTCTTAAAACCTAGTCTGATGTCTAAGCTACCTAAAAAACCAAACAGCTTCCAAGTGAGTCTCCCATCGCCCAGGGAGCCAGGGAAGGGGACGAAGGGTGAAGGCACTCTTTCGGAAGGAGAGGAGACCCTGCACCAAGGAACTGCAAAGTCTTCCTTCCTCCCCATTTCCCAGCAGTTAACAATAAATTAAGCAGCTGCGCCCAAACCTTGCCCGAGGCCAGGACTTCTCTTCTGCCATCCACGCAGACAAGGGGCACGTCCCCCAAGCAAGCCGAAAACCCGCAAATCCCAAACAGAACGGCAACAAGAAACAAGCCACACATTTCCCTCTCCAAGCAGAAGCAGCCAGGCCGCCCCCCGGGAGCCGCAGCAATCTGGCACGAAGCAATCGGGACCGAGGGGCCAACAAGCACCTGCTCCCTCCTCCCGGACACTCGGTTCTCTCTCGTGAGCCACACGAGCCCGTAGCACCCCGTCCCGGGGAGGGAGGCTGGGGGGGTTATAAGGATTTTGGTCACGTAGGCCAGGTAAGAGGCTCACTATCCATGATTGATGGCCCACACGGGGCTGGAAGTCATCAAGGTAAACACCCTCGAGGAGACAGCAAAGAGCAGCCAGCCAGGCTACGAGGAACATGAACTGAGAAACATTTTACAACTTCATTTTGGGTCCTGCTCCCCCTCCCCAGCAATTCTTGTGCCCTGTCACCACGAAAACGGTCGCTTCACCCCCGCCACCTGCAGCAGCGAGCTCCGGCCGCCCGCTCCGACGGACGAGCGCGGATCCTGCTCTGCGCTCCCAGCGAGCAGAAGGAATCCTCAGCAGGCGTCGGATGGAAGGGGCTGCCGGGTGGGTAGGTGGGATGCAGCGACCTGTCGGTGTCCAGGGCGAGGTCCTGCTGCGGCGGGGCCGGCGGCTCTCGGGAAGGGGAGGCTGGTCACAGGTTGATGTCCGTGACGTCTGTGGGCGTGCTGGTGGGCTGGCTGGCCGAGTAAGCAGCAGTCTTGGCGGTGCTGTATTCCTGTTGGGTCTGGGACGCCTGTTTCAGGCTCTCGGCTAAGGCTGCCTCAATCTGCTCCTGACAGGCTTTCAGGCAGTCCTGGGAGAGAAGGAGCAAGACAAGAGGCCTCAGTTCTCTGCTGCTCAGAGGTGGGAGCCTTATAAATAGGTCCGAGCAGCTGCTGGGCTGCATCTCTGGCCCCTGGAGCATCTAAACACACCAGACAAAGAAGCCTTTCTCTGACAAGGGGCATCTCCAGCTTGTCTGTGCTTTAGGCCCCTCCCCAGGAGAAGCCCCACGCTCTGGTTATCTTCTCCCCACTTCCCTGCTTTGACCATGTTCTCAAGGAATAGACATTGTGCCCATCAGAGCTTCCCAAAGCATCCGGGCACGTGCCTGGATGCAGCGTGTGATCTCAGCATCACGGCAGTCAGCTGCCGCTGACGACCGAGAGGGTAGAGCAGAACAGCTCTGTGCAGGCTGGTATCAACCTTTATGACCAAGATGTCCCAGATCCACGCTGCTGGCGTGCAGCACCACAGCTGCACATGTCGACCTCGGAGCCCCACCTGCCTCCCCCAGGCCCCACATCCCAGGTTTCCCGGAGTCCCACATAATCCCGCATCTCTGCAGTCGCCCACCTGCTGCAGAGAAGCTGCGCCCAGCTCTGCCTCCTCCTGTCCCTGCCCACCTCCGAGCCAGCACAAGGTGAATCCCTGCTCGATGCCCTGGCTGACATGCACTCCATCACTTTGGGGAACCCTCAGGCAGCTGGACCTGACCCTCCCAGACCCACTGGCCGCCCCAGCCATGTGCTCCCTCCAGTGCTACGTGCCGTCGATGCTGGGTTATTACAAGGATGATGCTGTGGCCACGTAGCTTCTCACAAGGCTTCTACTCTCCTGCTCTCCCCCTGCAGAGCACCGCCTGACTCACCCACACCTCCCCGGGACCCAGGGAACCCAGCGCTGGGGACACACCAGCCCCACAAACAGGGAGGTGCAGGGGACTGCAAACAGCGGTATCTCCCTTGCAATAAAAGCCAAC